AAACCTGAGTCCTTGGCAAGACAAGTAAATGCTGTAGCCACAAGGCTACCCCACTACCCTGATCTTTTGGTTTGTTTGTTTGTTTGTTTGTTTGTTTGTTTGTTTGCTTGTTTGCTTGTTAAACGCCACACTTACTATTATTCCAGCTATATCACAGTATTGATCTACGTAATTTGGATATGATGACATATATCAACAAGTCAGTGAGCCTGACCACTCGATCCCGTTAGCCACCTCTTAAACCAAGCAGTAATGACCTGATTAGATTGTCAGCCTGCAGACAATGAGAACCAACAGACAACAGAATACACCATCAATGCTCTTCGTGCCAACTGTGTGATTTGCTGAGTGTTATTTGATGACTCCACTTGATGATGAATATGTGTAGTATAGAATGCTATTAGCCAATAGTATATGCTTCCTCTGGCTGAAACCCAATCTTCACATATCGCACGTACAACAATCAACGTAATAAGTGCCCCCAGGGTGTTTCAACAGCGATGAGGGCACTTCTTGACGTACTGTCTGGAAGAGTTGGCACGCAGATATCATAACCAACAGATTTTAGTTCATAGTTCATTCCTGACTGTGACAAACTTATCCCTCTCCCCTTCAACAGTGTTAACTGTAAACTATATAAATCATCAATATGACTACAATAATAATATTAAATTATTCGTCAGAACTAAAGGTTAAGTGATTTCTCTGAAAATATACCACTGAAAAGAAGTTAAAGAACACATCATATTTTTTTCAGGCTGTAGTTAACGGTATCTGTAAGACAGATAAACTATAGTCATATGATTTTTTGGGGTTTTTTTTGTTTAACACCACACTCAGCAATATTCCAGCTATATGACAGCGGTCTGTAAATAATCGAGTCTGGACAAGAAAATCCAGTGACTGACATTATGAGCATCAATCCATGCCATTGGGATACAATGACATGCATCAACCACGTCACCGAAGCCTGACCACCTGATCCCGTTTGTCGCCTCTTACAACAAGCTCCGTCGCCTCTTACTGCAAGTATGGGTTGCTGAAGACCTGCTCTAACCTGGACCTTCACCAGAGTGAGTGAGTTGGGTTTAACGCCGCTTTTAACAGTATTCCAGTTATATCGCGGTGTGTCAGCTTAATGTGGGAGGAAAGCCCAAAGTGATGCAGGTCTCAGACGTTTACAACTTCGGTGAAACCCACAAGCATGGGTATGGTGCTGACAAACCTAGAAACATAATCGGGGCGAATCGGGATTCAAACCCACAATCATAGGTTTCCGGCGTGCCCAAGGGACGCAACTCCGCACAGCAATTCGTGGCGCCTTAGACAACTGTGACACCCGTGCCCCCCTTATAAGGGTGTAGGAGGGGTGTTTGTGTGTTGAACTTGTGTAAAATGAGAGTGATTGTTGGGAGAGAAGGCAATGTGTTATGTTTGAACAAGTCTAAAAAGGATTAGGCCTAACCCACTACAGGACTACTGTTTTCTGATTGCTTAATATTAGAGTAAATATCTCAATGCAACTTTCAAAGTGGCATACAAATTGTATAGATCTGCAAGTATTTAACCCAACACTAGAAGCTAAAGCAAGAGAGTACACATTGTTTCAGGCTGTAGTAAGCAATATTCTAGCAATAGCTAAAAGCTGATTATTTGACAAGGCTTATTCAATTACACTGATTAGATATGGTTATAATCTTATAATATAGTAGCTTTTAAGGATGGCAGCTGGTATGGGCTTGTGAATTGTTTGGCAGGCGTCTCTGTCATGTATTGCGAGTCTTCTAATGACAGACACCAAGTCAGACTATCGCCTTTATGGGCTGTAAAGCCAAGAATCACAGATAAAAAGTCAAAGCATAAAACATGTGATGCAATATACAATGAAAATGGGAATTACCGTATTCGACGTAATAAGCGTCCGGCTCTAATAAGCGCCCACGGCGATATATGCTAATATATTGGCTTGTGAACAATCCCAATTAGCACCCCTTCCGAATTATCAATGTACACAAGACTTGTTTATTCGTGTATAATATGCACTCGTGTGTTATATGCATCCTTAATTATGGTAAATTAAATTCTGGAAAAATATATCTGTCGTATATAAACAGTTCAGACTGTCAGCACAAACCACGAAATTTATCTTTCAACTCTGTTTTTCCACCAAAGTTATATTCTAATAAGAGCCCCCTATTTCTAATTTTGAGAGTGCCCTGGGCGCTTATTACGTCGAATACGGTAGGTCCAGTTTTACAACAGGTGGTGTATTGCTTGAAGCACAAGTGAATGAGAGTATTGACATTCTTTGTCTACGTCACTGCACTGTAACCATGTTGCTTGACGTCATAAGTGGTTGGTTGGTTAACGCCACACTCAGCAATATTCCAGCTATATGATTCTGGATTCTGATTATGATTTATGAGTCTGGACCTGACAATCTAGTGATTGACATCATGAGCATTGATCTTCACAATGCGGGATCGATGACATACGTCAACCAGCGAACCTGACCACCCGATCCCATTAGTCGCCTCTTACGACAAGCATAGTCGCCTTTCACGGCAAGCATGGGTTGCTGAAGACCTATTCTACCCCGGATCTTCACGGGTTTACATATAAGTGAGTGAGTATGTTTTTACGCCGCTTTTAGCAATATTTCAGCAATATCATGGCGGGGGACACCAGAAATGGGCTTCACACATTGTACCCATGTCGGGAATCGAACACGGGTCTTCGGCGTGGCAAGCGAACGCCTTAACAACTAGGCTACCCGACCCCCCCGTTGACAGATAACGATGACAACACCAACAATGATGGCGGCTGCCTGACAAACAGGCTGTGACATAGGCTCACTTGACTTTCAGGCAGGTGAGCTACAATGGGGCCAAATCCTGTCTTGACTAGTTACAACATCTTGAAATTCTAGTTGAAATGGTTAAGTTACCAGAAAAGATATATGTGGTACACCATGTAATGAGTGAGTGAGTGAGTTCAGTACTATAAAACTGCTTAGAAATTTTAACACGAAGATATATGTGACTTCGAATTTACCAATGATCAAGGTGAGTGCGAGAAAACTACACCATGTAATGTTGATATACAGTCTTAGATACCAAACTGTTAGTATACAGAATAGATAATGATATTCAAATCCATTCTAAAATTAATCATGCAGTTAATATCCAATACAAAATAGCTAAATGTGTATTTTTTATCTGGGCATAAGTTTTCCTATTGTCTTGCTCATAACATTTGCAAAACAAATGCAAAGTTATTTCAAACTTAAATATGAAAAGATATTGTTTATTTCTGTATAGTTGTCCAATGATCTGACAACAGTTTTACATATATTGTGCAAGACAACATTCTCATAATGTCCTTAATCTCCACACAAACAAAAAACACAAGATTAGGCCTTGTATTAAAGTATTTATTTAAATTAGTTTTGTACGTATGCAGAACATAGGTAAAATAATTTTCTTGAGAAAAGCATTATCACGATTACTGAAACTATATAAGTTCCATTATTTTAAGATAATCTGAAAATACAATTCTTTTTACATCATATAATCTGCATAACAGAGATTAAAGGATACAATGTAATGGTTTACAAATGTTTCAAGCTAATGGAGAGAATAGTATGGATATTGTTATAAGCTGTACATAAAAGACAAGGCGGGGGATAGTAACCCTGCCTCACACCAAGACAACAGAACATTAATGACAAACTTCAGGTGAACAGTCTTTGCTCAGAGAACACATAACTAACAAGTTTAACATGTTTAAGATAGAATTCATTATATTAACAATTTGGTTAGAAAAGTAAACCAAGATATATTTCCGATACCATACCTCTCTGCAAGATCTGAGGAAACATCCATACACGTTCTTGTCAGATGAACTTTCTAATCAGCCAACGCTTCTAAATTCTTGGTACTAGTTGATGAAGCATTCAAACAACAGAAGTGATTGCTGATTCTCAAAAATGAATATAATCAGACAATTCCAAATGCAAAAACATAAAGCCAGGCTATTATATTGTGGTGGATATTGTATACATCATGTTGTTTCTGAGTGCCATGGCATGTACACCCAAACAGGTGTAGCATCAAGGGTATTTTAGCCTTCTGTGAAGGTTTTCTTTTGATATGATCAAAACTTCTGAATTAATATGGTAAAGAAATGAAGCTTACCATATTTGATGTCATAAGCACCCAGCTCTCAAAATTAGAAACAGGGGGCTCTTATTAAAATAAAATGTTGGAGAAGAAAAAACACAGTTGAAAGATTGTAAATTTTGTTGTTTATGCTGACAGCCTGATATGATACAAAAGAAAAATCTGTGCATATTATACACGATAGATATATTCTTCCAGAATTTAATTGTCCATAACTAAGGATGCATATAACACGCAAGTTTGTATTATACAGGAATAAATAAGTCTTGTGTACATTGATCAATTGGAAGGGGTGCTGTTTGGGATTGTTCACTAGCCAATATGTAAGCAAATATCGCTGTGGGCGCTTACTATAGCAGGGTGCTTATTTCGTCGAATATGGTAATAGTTTTAGAAAGCTGACATCTGATTGTCTCCAGAACCCACACATCCTTCATTTAGACTGGGCACTTAAAGTCACTCAGGGTTCATCTGACACAACCCCCAATGGATGTGTCCTCAAGTCTTCACACAGAGAGTTATTGTATCAGAATAAAGGATCTGATTTTAATGCTATTAATTTTCACTTCCAAGATTTACACAAACACAACAGTAAGAATAGGATTGGTCACCACAGTGCTAAGAACCTCAATACACAGGCCAAGAGAGTCACATGGTAATAATTACCTTGAAGGTCCATCTCTACTACATTTTGCCAACTGTTTACTTTCCATATAGTGATGAATACGTTTTCAAAATCTACAAAAGCACATAACATGTTTTGCATGTGTGTAACAGCTAAATAAGATTATGTAACTGAACAAATGAAGCAATACTCACTGTCAAGGGCTGATAAAGAAAAAAACAACTATTTGAGTGATAGCAAAACCAAGCAGTTCGTAGCTATTGGGAAGTGAGTGAGTTTTCATCTGCTTTTAGCAGTATTTTTGGTATGGTGCTGACTACCCAGAATCATAATCAGAGCAAATCATGGATTCAAACTCATTATCATTCTCATGCATGAAAAGCAACTGCATCGACTAGTTAAATGTGTAGAGTGAGTGAGTGAGTGAGTGAGTATGGTTTTACACCGCTTTTAGCAATATTCCAGCAATATCATGGCGGGGGACACCAGAAATGGGCTTCACACATTGTACCCACGTCGGGAATCGAACCCGGGTCTTCGGCGTGACGAGCGATCGTTTTAACCACTAGGCTACCTGACCGCCCCAGTTAAATGTGGAATTTAAGTCTGAAATGATGCAGGTCTTTTAATTTTTTTTCTTTGGAATAACACAATAGTGTGATTATGGTGCTGACCAACTAAGATTCGTTATCGGGGTGTATCTGGGATTTGAACCAACGCACAAAGGATTCTAGCACACACGCAAATGGACACCACAAATTGTGGCAGGTTAGAGGTAAGGATGAAATGGGGTTTAACGTCGCGTCCAAGATTATTGCACTTACATAGCAACGTGCATTCACGTGTGTGTGTGTGTGCTTGTACTAGTCCTGACTGATGCCAATTTATAGTGCTAGCACACTGAGATACCATGCCGCAGTTTAACATGAATACCCCACTCAGACACAGTATACTGACTCCGAGCTGGACAGTCCTTGTTGAAGCCCCTTAATGCCAAGCGCCAGACAGGGTAACAACAACTACCATCTTTTAACATCTTTTGGTATGACGCGGCTGGGGATCGAACCCCGGATCTTCCGCTCTCCAGGCAGACGCTCTACCACTAGACCACGGAGGCTACCTGCAAGTTGAAGAATGGGCCACCCCTGCTCTGACGAGAGTTAATAGGCAGCCTTGGCCTATACATAAATTATTGATGAAAGAATAGGCATGGGGGGCCACATTGGGATGTCATACCAGTAACTGTTTAGGCCACAATTATCAAATTTTATGTTTCAGGGATTCATTCCAGCTTTTCCACACAAGGTTGGTCACAATATAAAAAAATAAAAATAGCTATGTCAATCATTATTTATACATGAAAGTCATTCTGCTGTGGAGTTAAAACTGCAGCTGGTTTCTTGAATCACTGATAGTGATGAAGACATGGAATTTATATATAACATTATTTATTTAGGTCTATATTACTAGCGGGAGACATAATAAAAACCAATCTTTTTATGTTTAATTTTTTTCTTTTCCGGATGCTTTTCAGTCTGGCTGACGGGCCAGTGAAACGAAAAATTTCAAAACTTGTAGCCGTAGCAATAAAAATCGCACATGAAGATTCAGGTTAGAATTGGTCTTAGGCTTGTCATAACTAACAGTATCAGGTGGTCAGACTGGCTGACTTAGTTGATGCATAGCATAGATCAACCCATGCTTGCCGTAAAAGGCGACTATGCTTGTCGTAGAAGGCGACTAACAGGATCGGGTGGTCAGGTTCGCTGACTTGGTGGATTCATGTCATTGTATCCCAATTCGATCGATGCTCATGATGTCAATCACTGGATTGTCTGGCCCAGACTCGATTATTTACAGACCGCCATCAATTAGCTGGAATATTGCTGAGTGCGGCATTAAACAACAAACAAACAAACAAACAAGATCAATGCTCATGTCAATCACTTGGTTGTCTGATTCAGACTCGATTATTTGCAGACCACTGTCATATAGCTGGAATATTGCTGAGTGCGGCGTTAAACAACAAACAAACAAACGAGATCAATGCTCATGTCAATCACTTGGTTGTCTGATTCAGACTCAATTATTTGCAGACCACTGTCATATAGCTGGAATATTGCTGTGTGCGGCGTTAAACAACAAAAGCACAAAACAAAGCTGTAATGGGAGGAGGATCCAGGGTGTCTTTCCAAAGATTGGGTTGAAAAAGGAGCAAGGCTCTGTAACTGACCTGGTGAGAGTGAGTGAGTGAGTAACCCTTCATGCTCCATAAGGATTCTTTTCAGGAATGGTTCACTGTCGGCCATGAGTCCTTGATCAAATTAGAACTACTTAATGTTGAGTGAGTGAGTGAAGGTTGTTTTACATCAGCAATATCAGAGCTACATCACACTGACCTGCATGTATGTCTTGAGTCTGAACAAGTCCAACCAGTGGTTGATAACATGAGCAACACATACTCTGTAGGGGACACTGACACACAGTCAGAAGAGTCACACACTGCAACCACCCTGTCCCATTGTTTAGGTTCTTTTATGACACGCATGGGGTATCACAGCAACAAATTATAATAGCGCTCAGCGTTGCTTACTAGGTACATTCGTACATGTTAAAAGGTGTTTGCAAATACTTGTTAGAAGCCCCTCTATCACCATTTCTAGAAGGCGGTAGAAGTTATCACACACCACCACACAGTATGTCCATAATGATACCATTGCTTCATTCCAGATTCAAGTACCTTGTCTCCAGCTACCATTTCTACTCTTAGGACATCATTTATGTCACGTCCGGTGTAGGAAAACATATGCCTATTGCAAGAAAACTTTAAAACAGTCCCATACCTCCAGATACCATAATAAGAAAGTAACACGCACTTCTGATCTAAAGACCTTGACCTTCAAATTCAACCAATCACATGCTTGTTTATTTCAACTAACAAACATATCATACCAACACGTGGGGTTGGTTCAGTTTACAAAGAAGCCAGCCAACTACAAAGTACAAATACGGTGACCTTCAGTGAAGGTCACTCAAAACGTTGCCACTTCTCTGCTCCACCCTGACACTGATACGTACCAAATTTAATCCAACTTCAGTAAAAACATCTTGAGTTGTTGTGAACAAAATACCTTTGAGTGTATGACTAAGAGTGAATATTATCTTCAATATCAGTTACTTAAAGAACATTCCCAAGCATACAAACCTAATTAAAACTAGGTCAATGTGACCTACTTATATCATAAGATTGTCAGCACTTGTTATCAAAAGGTGTTCTAAATCTATAACCACTACATGCATAAGAATTTCAAAAAATATCTGCAAACAAAGGCAGGTCAGTGAAAATGGCAAACATACTTTGTAGAAGACCTTCACCATGATTGTAAGTAAGACATACACCAAAGTTCACTGACACAGGAGAATGCTTTTTTTTAAGTCTATTAGTTAACATTCTTTACAGGCTTGACCTTCAGAATGACCTTGACCTTGACATTTGACCCTTGACATGACTGATCAATGTGTCAAAAACATTTCCCAGGGACATAAAGGAAAAATACATGATATGATGTCCATGAGATGTCCAATCACTGCAAGGTAAACGTCTCTGCATGGTGGTGGTAAAATTCTGGGAGGGGGTGATTGGATTGGACTGTATCATATTTTACTGAACCCCACAATTTAACAAGCATTTTTTCAAGCATGAACATTTTCCAAAAAAATGTTCACAACTTCTTATTCCAGTATTCAAGACATTTCAAGGATATTTGTTTTATCACTTCATTTTTAGAGCATCACTTTTCTGTCAACAAAACTAGCCCCATGTTGGTCATGATAATAACAATTGTTTTTCTCTATGCTGTATCCATACAAAGAAATTAATAACAAAAATCATATTCATCAATTCATAAAATTTCTGTATTTCCTTTTCATGACACTCCTTCTGCATGTTCGGATTCTGCCATATATTATAGGGCCAACATAGTAGGTCCTAGAATGATTTAGAGGTTAGATATATTTACAGATTACATAGAAGAGTCAGTGTGTTTGGTTTTCAAACTGTTTCAAAATGTATTTCAGTTATTTCACAGCCAGTCAGCTTAATGTAGGACAAAGTCAATACCCTATGAGAAGTCATAGGTGATGATGAAGCAAGGATCATATTCAAAGCAAATGATATGATTCAACCCATGCCCAGCATATCCTGGCATGACTAAGGGACACAACTCTGAACAATGAATGTTGCAGCACCTTAGTTTCATCTCTTGGATTAGTAAGTTTGTTGCTTAATGCCATAGCAGCAATAGAAACATTTTTAGTCCATTAGTCCTTATAATGAGAACATACAGCAAACCCCTTAAAAATGGCAAATTTCTACAAGTCCTTATGATACCTTAACTATTGGGCAGTTTGGTAACGACTATAGGACTAGTGTCAATTTCCCTCACTGCATAGTCAGCAATATTCCAGCTACATGACAGTTGCCCGTAAATAATCAAGCCAATTAAATCGACAAGTCAGCCCAGTTATATAAAGTTTGTAAGTAGGTGGCGAGTTCTGACTTTTTTCACCCACTCAAATAAATGATTACAGACAAACATACACACATGGCAATTTAGGGGGCGTTAATAATGAATTTGAATGTGAGTAACTATTTACCGATACATACCTTTCCAGTCACTGCCCAGGCAGCTGATGAAATGATTGATGGCTAGGTACAAGGCATGGATGGATATCAAGCAAATATACAACTGAAACAAAAAAAATATAAAAAATTAAACAGTTATTACAGCCCATCAGAAGCAATTTCATCATTTTTCAAGCATATTTTCTCCAAATGCTATCCAATTTGAAAAAAACACCAATAACTAAATTGAGTTTTCTTGGCAACCAGTGCACCAGTGCACTGACTGCTAAAACATGGTATTTACTGATTTAGTTCCTCACAGTGTTCTAAATTGAAAGGGGCATTGGGTACTTGAGATTTGTAACTGTAGTATTTGAATCTTGGGACTTTAACTTTTAACATTTGGGTTATAACAAGGACTTGTCTTTCAAGTTTAATATTGACCACAACATTACATGAAAAAAAAGGGCAAACTCAGCACAAATTGGTAACCTTTTCGTAAGAGATTAAGGGATAACTGAATGTAATTGTTACTCTATAAAATTCAAGCATTTTTTAACACCTCATGTGAGAGCAATTCAGTACGGCTTTTCACATTCTCATCAAAATCAGACGTTTCACTCAGGAATGATAACTCTCTGCATGAAGATCTGACAAGCCCTCCATTCAGGTCAACTTTCTAATCAGCCAATCAGCATTAAGCTTTCTAACATTAGTTCTCGAAATGACTGAGCGAAGTATTCCAACCAGCATAACTGATTTCTGTATCTTGAAAATGAAGCTAAACGGCCAGTTCTGTATGTAAATAGTAAAGGTCACACAATATTATTCTTGTGGATATTTTGTATATTCTGTCATTTCTGAGTGCCATGGCATCTCCACTCCAAAGTGTGTACTACTGAAGTATATTTGTGTTTTGTATGTGTTTACTTTTGATAAGATTAAAATTTCCAAACTGAGGATTTAGGAGATTGTGGCGGGATTTGTAATGAGGCCTGATGTCATCTTCCTGTGGCAAGGGAGTTAAATGACGACTTTTATAGTTTCCAACCTTGCCGAACAAGGCTGGAATTTTGTGGCTCAATCGAAGCACCACCAGTAGATATTATGAGTTATGTCCATGAAAACATAAAAAGTTTTGGAAAATATCTGTCAATGCCCAGTTGATGGCACATATGCTTTGCAAATCCTGCAATCGTCCAAAATCTGCACGGCAGTCGCTATGTTGTTTACAAACTGGATGTCAATGCTACTATGCTATTTTGATTGGAGTGTGCATAGACTCGTTAGTCAAGCCAAACTAGCCAAAGCCAAAGTTTGGCAAGGGTTGAAACCAGTCTTTTATTGTCTGTTAACTCCCTTGCCTCAGGAAGATGTCTGATGTGAGAGGACAGTAAGATATCAACATAACAATAATGCACTGACATGGCCAACATATAACAAATACATGTAAAGCATAACATAATCCCTTAATAATGGCAAATTTCTACTAGTCCTTATGACACCTTCACACTCGCTGACTTGGTTGATGCATGTCATCGATTCCAATTGCGTGGATCGATGCTCATGACATCAATCACTGGATTGTCTGTTCCAGAGTCGATTATTTACAGACCGCCGTCATATAGCTGGAATATTGCTGAGTGTGGCGCTAAACAACAAACCAACCAACCAACCAGCTAACGACACCTAAACTTTGGCAATTTGGCAAGGACTAAGGGACTAGAGCCAATTTCAAAACACTGCACACAAATCTATCACTGTGCTAAGTCACACTTAAACAACCTTGGTACATATTTTTGTGATTTATAATAATTTCTTTGACAATTTTGTTCAAATTCAAGGTTTTTCAAGCTATTTTGGTGACTTTCAAGGCTTTTCAAGAGGGACCTTAAACCTGAAGGCCTTTTCAAGCCTGTACAAACCCAACAAGCTCACTTCAGACATATACCGTATTCGACGTAATAAGTGCCCAGGGTGCTCTCAAAATTTGGAAAAGGGGGCTATTATTAGAATATTATTTTGGTGAAGAAAACAGAGTTGAAGATAAATTTGGTGGTTTATGCTGACAGCCTGAAATGTTTATAGAATTTAATTGCATGTCCATAAGTAAGGGTGCATATAACACACGAGTGTGTATTATAAGCGAATAAATAAGTCTTTTGTACATTGATCAATCGGAAAGGGTGCTAATTGGGATTGTTCAGTAGCCAATATATTAGCAAATATCGCCGTGGGCACTTATCAGAGCGAGGCGCATATTATGTCGAATATGGTAAGTACTGACTATCCTGGTAATCTGGCATAACATATAACACAGAAGTCAGCAGAAGATATATACTCACGGTAAAAAGTACGAAATATTTCTGATTGTTCTCGCCAACGCAGTTGTTCACCCATGGACAATGGTGGTCCATTTTCCGGACACATCGCTGACACACGCTGAAAAAACAAATACAATATGCATATTATTTGCATTTGATAGAAGCGTATGAGTGCTCAGGATTGCTTTGAAAAGTATTTCATGGAACGTCTGCAGAATGTCAGTGTTTAAAGTTCAGATAAATTCCAACTGGACTGGCAAGTCAATAAATTGCCAGTCTGGATAAAAAGTTGCCAGTTGAGACAAAATTCCACATATTGGAATGCAACAGACTTAGACTCCTAATTTGAAAAGTTGGGGGTCATGATGACTCCCAATTTTTAAAGTCTAGGGCAAACCCTGTATTAGTAAATTCAATAACCAACATGCGTCACACCCAGTTGAAAATTTAAGTCACATTCAAATCTTGCTTGATGTAAATGGATGTAGACTACAAACTGAGCCAAACAGCAATCAGTTTTACAGCCAAAGTTGATAACACTATCATTTAATCAGCTGATCAAGCATTGTTGATCTACATGGAAGAAATATTACAGGTTTTCTGCTATACATTAATATCAGGTTCTTATCCAAATGCAATATTTGTTCATATCCTTCTTCCTATCAACTAAATCTAAAAAAAACAAAACAACCTGACTATTGGCCATGCATGTTTTAAAAGTTGCCCATCCAATAGTGAGTGAGTGAGTTGGGTTTAACGCCACTTTTAACAGTATTCCAGTTATATCACGGCATGTCAGCTTAAAGCCGGAGGAAAGCCCGAAGTGATGCAGGTCTCAGACGTTTACCACTTCAGTGAAACCCATGGGCACGGGTATGGTGCTGACAAACCTAGGAACATAATCGGGGCGAACCGGGATTCGAACCCGCAATCATAGGTTTCTGGCGTGCCCAAAGGACGCAATTCTGCACAGCGAATCGTGGTGCCTAAGACGACTTGGCCACCCGTGCCCTCAGCTTTGTACCGTACCCTGATCATGTCGACCTTGTGGATCATTGCTCATAATATCAACCACTGGTTTGTCTTGCTAGGCTCATTATCTACAGGACACACTGGAGGACCAAGAGTGGGGGATGAAGCATGGGTGGCACAAATGCACTTCTTTTTTAAAAATCCTTTATCAACATGTGGGCTACCATGATATCACTGGAATATTGCTGCCTGCAGCACAGAACACTTCTTATCCACTGTAAGAATCACACCCCAATCTAATTCATGTATATCACAACATGGTGCAGAATGCACTAATGATTACAGTAATACTGCATGCCTTCCTATCTTACTCCTGTCTACTACAAGCATGTGGTACTGCATGCCTTCCAATCTTACTCATGTCCACTACAAGCATGTGATACTGCATGCCTTCCCATTTTACTCATGTGTACTACAAGCATGTGATACTGCATGCCTTCCTATCTTACTCATGTCTACTACAAGCATGTGATACTGCATGCCTTCCCATCTTACTCATGTCTACTACAAGCATGTGATACTGCATGCCTTCCTATCTTACTCCTGTCTACTACAAGCATGTGATACTGCATGCCTTCCTATCTTACTCATGTCTACTACAAGCATGTGATACTGCATGCCTTCCCATCTTACTCATGTCTACTACAAGCATGTGGTACTGCATGCCTTCCCATCTTACTCATGTCTACTACAAGCATGTGGTACTGCATGCCTTCCCATCTTACTCATGTCTACTACAAGCATGTGATACTGCATGCCTTCCTATCTTACTCATGTCTACTACAAGCATGTGATACTGCATGCCTTCCTATCTTACTCATGTCTACTACAAGCATGTGATACTGCATGCCTTCCTATCTTACTCATGTCTACTACAAGCATGTGATACTGCATGCCTTCCTATCTTACTCATGTCTACTACAAGCATGTGATACTGCATGCCTTCCTATCTTACTCATGTCTACTTCAAGCATGTGATACTGCATGCCTTCGCATCTTTATCACATCTACTACAAGCATGTGGTACTGCATGCCTTCCCATCTTACTCCTGTCTACTACAAGCATGTGGTACTGCATGTCTTCCTATCTTACTCATGTCTACAAGCATGTGATACTGTATACCTTCCCATCTTACTCATGTCTACTACAAGCATGTGGTACTGCATGCCTTCCCATCTTACTCATGTCTACTACAAGCATGTGGTACTGCATGCCTTCCCATCTTACTCATGTCTACTACAAGCATGTGGTACTGCATGCCTTCCCATCTTACTCATGTCTACTACAAGCATGTGGTACTGCATGCCTTCCCGTCTTACTCATGTCTACTACAAGCATGTGATACTGCATGCCTTCCTATCTTACTCATGTCTACTACAAGCATGTGATACTGCATGCCTTCCTATCTTACTCATGTCTACTACAAGCATGTGATACTGCATGCCTTCCTATCTTACTCATGTCTACTACAAGCATGTGGTACTGCATGCCTTCCTATCTTACTCATGTCTACTACAAGCATGTGATACTGCATGCCTTCCTATCTTACTCATGTCTACTACAAGCATGTGGTACTGCATGCCTTCCCGTCTTACTCATGTCTACTACAAGCATGTGATACTGCATGCCTTCCTATCTTACTCATGTCTACTACAAGCATGTGATACTGCATGCCTTCCTATCTTACTCATGTCTACTACAAGCATGTGGTACTGCATGCCTTCCTATCTTACTCATGTCTACTACAAGCATGTGATACTGCATGCCTTCCCATCTTACTCATGTCTACTACAAGCATGTGGCATTGCATGCACTGGGGACTATCCTTCCATTGAAGCCCCAAAATAACAATGCTAACACAATATTGACCTTCAGTGAACAATCAGATATTTTACGATTTTTCACAGATTTCCCCACTATCGTGAATATCTTGGCCATAAAATGTCTGAGACAAAATAAGCTGACCAAACTTGTTTTTTCAAGAAAATGAGAGCTCTTACATGTACGATATTCAATGTGAGCGGCTGCTCGCCAATCCAGTAAGTCTATAGTGTTATCACTTAATAACACAACCTCATCCTAAGTTGGTATAACTTCAATTTGCCTAGTTAATTGAGAGACAATGCCAGTGACACCCCACAAACATATTCAACCTTATATACGTCGGAATGCACTGGAGAAAAACACCAACCAAATATTAGTACACTGCAACAGCCAACTTTCATTATGAAATCTGTCTGAGACATGATTGCCATCCTTATAATTACAGTTTAAGTTGATTTACATACAGATCTAAAACACTGATTTTTTTACCATGAAGATTCAACTACTACTGTGCCCTTATAGAAGGACATATACTGGTTTGTTTGTTGTTTAACGCCGCACTCAGCAATATTCAAGTTATATGACTGTGGTCTGTAAATTATTTGTTTTGTTTGTTGTTTAATGCTGCACTCAGCAATGTTCCAGGTATATGACGGCGGTCTGTAAGTAATCGAGAGTCTGGACCAGACAGTCTAGTGATTGACATCATGAGCATCGATCCATGTTATTGGGATACGATGACATGCATCAACCAAGTCAGCGAGCCTGACCACCTGATCCCATTAGTCGCCACTTGCAACAAGCATAGTCGCCTTTCACGGCAAGCGTATTTGCAGAAGACCTATTCTACCCCGGATCTTCACGGGTCGCATATACTGGTATTCTCCCCAGTCTCAAATCGGATGGTCAGTGACTTGGCTCATTGCATGTCATCGCACACCGGCAGCATGGACTGTTGCTCATAATGTCAATCACTAGATTGTCTGGTCAAGAGTCAGTTATTCACAGGCCACCATCATGTAGCTGGCATATTGCTGAGTGTGGCATTAAACAACAAACATCATATCAATCACTGGATTGTCTGGTCCAGACCTAATTATTGACTGGTCTTCGTCATATAGCTGGAATACAGATTTGGGCAGCGTTCAACATCAAACAAGCAAACAAAATCCACAGTCTGTGCCTATTTCCAGACTTCTCCTTGTAATCATTGCCATTGTCTGTGTATTTTTAGACACCACTAATAACAACTGAGCAAACTGACAAACAAAATGGTGCTTGGGGACTTTGCTTAGGCTGTCAATTTTCGGAGCTTAATCCCTCTATAAACATCTCAAAAAGAAGTTCAATTAAGGATTGACTGTATTTTTTTCGGTTCATTGAGGTATGAATCGAAAAACCAATGTGCAATAACACGTGACCAATTCAGCTTATCAGAATACAGGAATTTCAATGAACACAACGGAAATTTAATTATGAGACAATGGCATCAACAGCTCCCATATAAAGCTGAAGAATACCGAGAGCCGAAACATCATCTTCATAATATGGATTGTGGGATGAACAGGTTACAACATTCATTCACACAGAACATAATATATCCAAATCAGAATGTCTCTTAAAACAAGCATGAGTGACTGGGACTGCATCACTTTTCTTCTAATTTTAAGTTTTTTTAATACAAACAAGTATCCTAGGATATCCTAGGTAGACGTTGGTGCTCTACCGGATATTTCTCTTATGACAACACACAAGTCCGTCTGTGGGTCCACAACGTTTATTCGTGATCTTAATATGTCTATATAACTACATAGTAGTATGGCCAAGCAGGATCTCTGAGGCGTAAGAGAGCCAACCTGCCTAGCCGCTGTCCGAGGGTCAAGTCCCGACTAACAGAAAGCGTACTATCTTTAACCCTCACTGTCAGACTGCAATGTATCGTGTTACGTTACATACATGGTCAGACTGCAGTATCCCGCACCTCATCCACAAAGTTAAGCTTCAGTGGCCAACCGGCCATTCTCTGGCATTAACTACAACCCACTGACCCGCACAAGACTCTGTGCTGCTGGCCATGGTAATGATACCCCAGCTGCTGTTATAATTTGTATTGGCAGCACTCTGTTTATTTAAATAGATATAATCAACTTACTTAATTAAGGGAATATATAAAACGTATATACACTCCCTATTAAAACATATAGACTCCCTGTTAAAACCTATATACCCTGCCAAACTGCCTATGATACAAGAGTCATCAG